TACAGATGTCACACTTGGTTGAGAAAGAGAGGATCCTGTATATCTCGTTTCCGTTATCGGCGGAAGTAGAAGAGCTCGATGGATTGTTAGGTCCATCAGTCGAGTCACTGCCGGTCGGTACTGGTACGCTCGAGCGATCACCAGGCGCAATTCGACAGATAGGTAGAAGCGCGTGCGTGCAGCATCGTCCTTGGTTAACACATTTATTGCAGAAGCCCCAGTCCCCCTCGTTGCATTCGTTGCATTTCCAGTAGCATTTGTTCGCCACAGCGTGGCAGATGTCACAGAAGAGTCCCGTCTGCAACCTCTGGGCTGGGTCGTCGCTAGTCATCTCCTTTCCTCCGCTTGTCGTGCGATGGACATTCTCAGAGGGCCGTGAATATCTGGAAAATTGCAAGACATGCGCTATCTCGCGCGACGGTATAGCCCGACCGGTCGAGGAGGCAAGCATTCGGTCGAAATTCGCTTCTGCAGACGGACGAAAACCCGCCCATTGCAAACAGCCGCGGCCGAGGCGATAGCACCGCAAGCATAGATGGAAGCTTCCATCTTTGCATTGTAGACATTTTTTGTGAAGCTCATATTGGATATTCTGCTTGCCACACCGGTCGCAAGAGATGGAAGGTTCCGTGAAAGTCGGTAAAGGACGTTGAGAGACATGGGATCGAGAAGATGAAGGTCGAGAGCGTTGGTTGGCAGGACTGCTTACGGCTGGTGCTAGAGAACTACATACAGATGAACCGGCCGTAGTCTGTTCTAAGCGCGCAGAAAAAGAATTATTCGGTGTGCTCGGTGAAGTTACTGACGTAGGCGAGATATTCAGTGGTCTGCCCGAGACGTGTTGCTGGTGATCGCGGTTCCTGGCTTCAGGGGTGAATATGTTCGGGGCGTTCTGCTCGGACGCTGTTGCCCGTCGAGGCCTCGGAGCAGCCGACAATTCGGCCGCGCGAGCTCGGGAGGACTGAGAAGGACGAGGGCGATCCGAAGCTATATCACTAGACGACCTCGCAGCAGGTCGCAATGTGACTTCCGATGTGGACGCCGCATTGGCAGGAGCCGGCGACGTCCTCCTCCTCCGAGTCCCCTGATCCGAAAGACGCCGCTGATGGTTAGAAGCATCCGAGCGCGAGACAAGCGGCTCCAGCAGATACGGCCTTGACACGGGTGGATTCCTCGGGGATGTCTGAGGAGCAGACACTGTCGGTGGTCTCTGCACGGATTGCGATCTCGCGCGCGGTCGCGGCGACGTCTGTGAAGCCTCATTCGCCTCTTGTCTCTGGCGTGAGCGCGACCGTTGCATGTGTCGTCGGCGATAAGCATCGGCGATGCGCTCAGTTAACTCCTCTTCCTGCGCCGGCCCAAGATTGTCCAGGTCGATACCATTCAGCAGTCCGTCTTCGATGATCTGTCGCAGGATCTCCTCTTCCATTGTTTCGGTATCGGACAAGCTAAGCAGCGATCGGAGACTGGACTGGTGCTCAATCCGCCTCGTTCTCTCCGAGTTATCCTCTGTACGGGCCGCAGGCTGTCGGCGCAGTACACGCTCCTCCTCACGCCGTCGTCTTGAGCGACCATCCGCTCTCCGTCCATCAGCATCAACGCTCTCGGCTCGTCTGCTTCTTGAAGATTGTCCTGTCGCCGTCCTGCTCTCTCGCAAACTCAATTCACGAACCTCCTCCAGCAACCGTCGATCTTCGTCATCCGCCACGGTACCATCTTGCCCCGGGGGCGAAAGCGCAGGAAACACAGACTCGCCATGCTTGTATTTCTGAGCAATCTCCTCCTTTTCCTCGGCTGACTTGATGCGCTCAGGATTGGCTGCTAGAACCATGTCCAACAGCGTAGTAACGGTGGCATTGGGTCGTGTTTCGCGCACTACGGCACGACATGCTGGGCAGGTGAATTGCGGGGAGGATGAGGACGGCCGACGGCGGGATGCTTGAGCAGCAAACCATTCTTTCAAACAGGAACCGCAGAAGGTGTGTAGGCAGTTAAGAAGGGTGAGAGGTTGGTAGAGCAGTTCTGTACAGATCTATGGTGATCGTTCCAGGATCAGTCAGTGAGAGGTCACAGTAAGCGATTTTTGAGATCGCACATATTAATCTATCAAGTGCTATATGAGTATCCACCCCTATCAGGCCGGCGATCGAAGGAAGGGGGTTGACATTGTGGTCTTCGTGGATATCCCACTCGATAAGATCTGATCAAATGACGCAAGAAGCAGCATGATTATGCAGTGTACATACCGAGCAAGTCAGTTCTTTCTCGAGGTCCAGCAAACCAGGACCCCCGCGAGACTCGTTTGACATGAGAGATAAGGAAGGAGAGCACCCCAAATCTGTTCTGCAATATATGGAGGGATCGGTAGCGGACTGATAGATTATTGATGAGGGGAAAGTAAACAGTCGGGCTGGATGCGATGGTGCGTCCCGTGGATCTCGGCGAATGAAAGCCCCACTGTATGGAAGAGATCTTGGATACTCCCTAGTGTACGCTATTCTTAGAACTCATCCGAAGGATTCATGCTTGAAACCATGTCTTGCTCTCAAAAGTCAATAGATTTGTATGCTAAGGTGAAATTACTTATGCCATGAATTCAGATCCTGCTACGCTCATTATCCATGAATGAACATCCAACTCCACTTTCATACACCGCAAACTTGTAAGAAAATTGACAAACAAGACAATAAGCTCACTCTTGTCCATGCTTTGCTTTCTCCCAGAACCAACGGTACATACCCTTCCATTCTGTCGTCTCATCCTCCACGTAATCTCTGACCAACTCTGCGGTCGCGTTGGTGTCAGACCACGGCCCATCAGAGCCAACGCGGTATCCAGTTGAGGCATCCACACCGGAAGACCCAGCATTCGAGGCTGTATCCACAGAGACATGACCCGGATGATGACCAAGTATCTCCTCAGCACCTTCCTTAGCTTTCTCAGCCAGGTCCCGCGCGCCCTCTCGGGCAGCTTCAGCGAATTCTTCGGCCTGTTCGCGCGCGCGTTGGATCAGCTCTTCAGGCGTAGGATATCTCCTGAAGATAATAAGAAGAAGATAGTAGCTCTGCACGATGAGCGAATAGACTGCATCCTTTGCTAGCATGGTGAAGCCATGCGAGAAGAAGCCCTTGAGAACTTCTCCGGGGAGGCCCGCATACAGCGCGGATACACCCTCGTTGCGTGCAATGGCCAGTACATCCGTAATGATCTGAGGCGCGAAGGATATCCCGTCCTCGGAGACACTCTTACTGCTCGGTTTCTCCCTATTTCCCGAGCTATCGACCTGCGCTCTTGTCTTGGCCATGGAAAACGGGTACGTGATCGACGATGCAGCGGACTTGCTGATGGCAGCTAAAAGGAATGTCATCGCTGGCGACGGCCTTCCCCGCTTATTCCGCGACAACAGGGCATACTTCAAGACCTCATTCAGGAAGAAAGTGATCGACGGATTCAGCGTGAGAATGAGCGACGCCGAATACCCAGACCAGAACCCCCTCAGCCCCTTCTCAGACTTGATCCGCGCAGCTATATCCTTCGTCGAGAGAGCTTTTTTGCCGGATGCCGCTTGCTTTCTCGCCACGATATTAGCGAGCGGTGTGGTGAAGAGCTTCGCAAACGCGCCGGCCAGCACACCGATCGCCAACTCATCCAGAATCGGAAGGACAACATGCTTCGACCGCCGCCCATCGCCATACCGAGCCCTGATCCTCCGCTGCCTGAAAAAGCCATACGCAAGGAAAAAGAGAAACGAGTCCGCAACTGTCTTGGCCGTATCCTGTGCAAGGCCTGTGTAGAAACTCCCTAGGCCCTCTTTGGCGTAAATCTTGCGTGCTGCGTCAAGCACGTCGGTGTACTCCTCTTCTTCCTCCTCTTCCCCGTCCTCGGCATCCGACTTGTTCTTTTTCTTCGTCCTCCGCTGCGCCTGCGCCTGCAGTCGAGTCACAATCAGACTGAGCGGGTACGTGACAACGTTGGATATAGCCGCTCCCACAGCTCCAGCGACTGCATTGCCTACGGCAGGCAAAGCGGGACCACGCAGTGCAGCCCTCTTCCAGTCCTTCTCCGGTGGAGGATTATCATATCTATAGTACAGTTGATACGAGTCCTACACAGTGCCGCCCGAGTCAGCAACCCTCTCGAGCTGTCAAAAGAGCTGAATTCCGAGTCCAATAGAACAACAATAACAACAGACGTACCAGTTCAGACTCGTAGGTAACTTTATACTCTGACATTTTTAGCGGTTAGAAAACAAAGAGGCTATTAATCGAAGATGAGAAGGACAGAATAGGTGGCGGGTCAATTGATAGCTCGTCAGAAATATCGACCACAAGTGATAGCAACTATGGCCTCCTGGGTATGTACTGTGTAGGGCAGGCCCGATTGACAATGTCAAGTCCTGCAGTACCCATCAACGAAGCAGGAGATGGAGCTCTCCGATTTATGCAGCCACACCGAGTCGGAGCCGTCATATCCTGATTACTCTTGCGGAAAACCGAGGTCCAGCAGCAATGTGGAGGAAGCGCAGGGCCGATAACGTCATGCGCACGTGTTGGTCCGTGCACGATACAGCGGTCGCAGATTACACCATGTGATCTGTTTTGAATCTTTTCCATGGCATGCTACACTATCTTACAGACTCAGGACAATTCATCCCCAGTAAAATTGATTGTATTCTCTAGCTCTAGAGAGCAGGGAATCCACAATTGACTGCAGTTAAAAAAAGACCCAAACCAGCCGGTCATCCAAGCCCATATGATAAAACCAGCAGAAGATTGTCAAGCTCAAACTAGCCCATTCCAAACCCCATTGAAACCCCATAATAAACCTCAAAGATTCAGGAAAACATCACAGCATAAACGCATTAATGTCAATATACAAGTCTCCGGGCTTTCCACCGTCAACGGTCACCAAACACTCAACCAGACACAGCAAGCGGTCCGAGAAGCCAGGTGAATCGGAGCCGGGACTCGATGTGATGACGAATAGCAAAGCGTAAACGTTTAGCCACCGAAACCGTAGAGGGTACGGCCCTGGCGCTTGAGGGCATAGACGACATCGAGTGAGGTGACGGTCTTGCGCTTGGCGTGTTCCGTGTAGGTGACGGCATCACGGATGACCGACTCGAGGAAGGACTTGAGGACACCACGGGTCTCCTCGTAGATCATGGCGGAGATACGCTTGACACCACCACGACGGGCGAGACGGCGGATAGCGGGTTTGGTAATGCCCTGGATGTTGTCACGCAAGATCTTACGGTGACGCTTGGCGCCACCCTTGCCGAGACCCTTGCCTCCTTTTCCACCTGTAGGACATGATAGTTAGTCACTATGGTCTTTATAAAAAATTAGAGATAGCAAATGGCTGTCCATATGGAGGTGAGAGAGATCGGGGAGGATTGCACGTTGGCCTGGGGCAGTGACATTATGTCACGTGTACAGCCGCGTATCATCATTACCCATCTCAACGCGGAAGCCATCAACAACCAAGGATGATAAGAGACCACGGCGAAAAACATATCAAGTATAATACTTACGTCCAGTCATATTGTAAAATAAAATCCAAAGATGAGATGATAAGAAAATAGATGAAAAGTTGATGAAAACGACCCGCGGAGTTGATGAGAAATGTGGCGCGTCGCTGGCTGGATTGAGTAGTAGTAAAAAGGAAGAAAATAAGAGCGAGTTAAGAAGCAGGGGCGAAGGAGGCGTATTCTTAAATAGGTCTTCGGGGCGGTCAGCAAGCGACAGCGTGATTTTTCGCGGTCTCAGTGAATGACTAAGCCCAGGGGGTGATCTGGAAGGGTCAAAAAGCAATGAGAGGAGATGATTGGCGGGTGGCGGATGGGAAAAAGGGTGTTATGAACGGCTGCTTTCAAGCCCATGTTTCTGCCGTTGGTTTTTGGCGCATTTTTGCCGCTATGAACCAGCGTCGCGGGGCACTAGGCGGGTATAGTCACGTGATGGCTTGGCAGCACACCTTATCACCAACGTCAAGTTTCTCGCAAGGTATCGATCTACAAGGGCAGTTGTACGTCGGAGAAAAGTATGGAGATGCATAGTCAATGCGCATTATCGATTCTGTTTGTTACCTGAATCAAGTCATCTCCTGCGTTTACTCGCTCATAGTACAATCGAGAGTTAACCAACAATCACTCCAGGATCGAGCAAGTCGGGGGTCCTACCTTCCGACACCCCACATCTAGCTGCGGCCTCTCCTAATTATGTCGAGGGCAATCCTTCACTCATACATCTCACCCAAGCAGCGCGGTCGAAGAAGACATTCGATTTAAGAATTTCGAAATAGCCGTTGACAGCGACCTTTAAAGAGAGTCGACTAACTTTCGATAGAGGGACATCTTCATCGAAGTTACGTAGTGATCGAACATACCATCAGCAGCTAGACACGCTCGGTTTTGCGTCAACTACAAATTAAAGGCTTGAATCAGAAGTAATAAGAGTGTGATGAATGTATTGAGAATTGTCGTTGCCTCCACATATCATACCAGAACTACCCACATGTGGCAGACAATACAAGAAAGGCATTGTTACCCGCCCAGAGAGCCGTAGCAAAGGCGGCAAAATATAGCACAACACCCCAAACTCCATGCAAACTCAACCAAAGTTGAGCAATATTCATGAACAACAGCGTAAACTGTGTGGAAACTTTTCCTGATTGCAAATGCTTCGTCTCATAGAATGCTGTCAAGCAGACTACCAGACTACTATGCAGGAACAAACGCAGAGAAGAAAATTCGTATCATCGTACTCGTGAAACAAATCAAGACGGATATCAAAAAGACCACACTGAGCACAATCATGCATGAACGTAACTTGCTTTCCACCATAATCATTGCGTCGTGGAAAAGAGGATAAAAAAAGCAAGTACAAGGCTCTTCCCCGCGGTTTATGGTACATCGCAAAGGGAAAGGCCTCAATACTTGACATGAGCACCAGAGTAAAGAAAAGGCAAAAGGGAGTATTAAAACCAGGTTAACAAGCCATAGTTGCTATACGCGATGGCGACAATAGGTCCGCTGATAATTCAGCAAACAGCTGATTGGGTAGAGAAATGATGGGTTGAGGAAGGGTTGGTGAATGTATCCCTCGAATAAATCGTGTCAAGAGTGGGTATCAGAGTACTGTGCGACCTTCAACCATAGTGTGAGAAGAGGTACACTGACGGTGAAGATGGACCCAATTTATTTATCGGTAGTCATGGAAGAGCAAACTCACCCTCTGATGACTGCCGGGGTCTGAGTCTCTTTCAAGAAGCTGCTCTGCATGTGAGGGTGATGAGCATAGTCGAAATGGGTTGGCGATGATGAAGCTGCACGGGGGCTTGAGCTGACGGGGCTAGCAGACGACGAGCGGCTATTCCCATAGTCGATGCCCAAGATCTCAGTCGCACGCGGTGAGAGAGGAGGCGACAAGGATTGTGCGGGGGAGGTGCTGGATGTGCTCGAAGAATCGGGATGTGAAATCCCGTTGTTAAGCGAGTCGTTGGTGCCACTAGAGCCCTTCGAGGATCCATAGAAACAGAACTTGTCCACGAGTTCTTTGTACACGGATGAATCATGGTGGGGTTTGCTGGACAAGAGGGATGAGGGCTTGACGTGTTCCGAGTGTGCAACTTGCGAGCTGACCTCGCTGACTGCAGACGCCTTCTTAACATGTAGACCTTCAGTCAGGACACGGTCGCCGTTTACAGGGTCAGACTTGGTAGTGTCGGACTTTGCTCGAGCGGTCAGAGTCGTGCGATCATGAGTTGGCTTGGTCCTCATGACGGCGGACAGTGAGGCCCCAAAATCATAGCGATTACCGAATGCTTGTCGTGCTTGCTTCTCGCGGGCAGCAGACATTCTGTGAACCTCCTTCAACAGATCCTCGGATGAAGATTCCTCTTTCAATGTCTTCTTGGGACGACCAAAGGATAAATAATCGTTCATATCCTCATAAAAATCATCGAGCGAGGAAGGCATCGAAGGACGGCTGTTGACGCCGGCAAAGCTCTTGCTGCGAGGAAGAGCTGGGCGCGAGCCAGCGGCGGACGGGCTCCGCGGCTCAGGTCGTGGTCGGGGGATACGAACGAAGTTGACTTGGTAATTCATAAAGTTGTTGTTGTCCCAGAATTCCTGCCCAGCCACGCTATAGCGGATGCAGACAAACATAGTTTTCTGTTCCAAGTTTGCATGGTCAGTGAGCTTGATGCTGAAGGTAAACCGGTCATAGCCGTCATGAGCTTGCTTCCGACGGACATCGTCACTGTATTCCGCGGTAACTTCAGAGACTGTCTTCCAGTAGTCGAAGGTGAAGCGAGCTGCAACGTGCTTCTGAAAAGCCAGATTGGCAACTGCCACCACGCCAACCAATGTATCCTTGTCCGATGATAGAAATAGTCGTTCAAGTCGCACCCTTTGAAGAGCTCGAGAGGAAAGATCCTTGGGGAAGTTTGAAAGTCGAATATCCCACTCGAAAGAAGGTGCCTCAAAGGGAAATTCCCCTTCGTTGCTATAGTCCTCCACAGGAGACGTGTTGGCACTGACCGCCTGTGGCTTGTCCAACTGCAAGAAATGACGAATGTGTTCGAGCTGAGAGTCAAAATGCACCGCCTTGGCGTATGTGGGGGTACCCGGCATGCTAGATGGCCTCCGCCGTGCCGACGGAGGGCGAAGAGCGGGTCTCACAAGTTCTCCTGACTTCTTTCGCACCATAGGCTGCTTCCTCTGGGGCTCATCGTCCCTCTCACTCTCTTCCGGTGAGCTGGTCAAAGCTTCTTCATTCTTGTGGGAGATAGAGCTTTCGGTTACCGACCGAGAGTGTGAGATTTTGCGAGCCTCCTTGGTGAGTGGTGGACGAGAAGACTCCTGCGGTGCTATACTTGACGATGACTTCTCTCGTGCTGCTTCCCTTTCCGGAGAAGGCGTCCGTCGCTGCTCAATGGACCTCACGGCCGCCTCGAGTTCCTCCAGCTTCAGTGCATCCCGGTGCTGATGCGTCAACTCTTCATCACTTGAGTTCAGAGCCGACTCTGGTGGAGATATTACCGCCCCTGGAGGAATCATGGCATCGCTTATCGGAGGCGGGGATTGCCGGACACTAGCCAGAGTGTCGACAACATGGTTAGCCTTAAGAGGACGATTGTCAGCAGCTGGGAAGACAAAGGCCTTGCTGCTCGACGGGCTCCTTCTGTGCCTGCGAACATAAGCCGTAGATGAGTAGGAACGTGGAAGGTGCGGACGCCCAGCTTTAGAAGCGACGGTGGGTGGTGAGCTGGGACAAGAGTGAGAAATGGGTTGAGAGTGTTCGATGTGCTGCGCAGAAGGCGACGACTTCAACGGCGCAGTGTATGGCATCCGGCCGGACTTGTGTGGCTAGACACAAGATACAGGCTGATGGTAGAGAGGTCTGAATGGAACAAGCTGAAGAAACAGCGTGAAGAGAGCAACCTTGATCCACAGACGAAGAGATCAAAGGATGAGTCGTTCAAAGAAACGGCCCCTGTAAATACAATCTGACCGAGAGTTAGTCAGGGACGAATTGCCTTTGTCAAGACTGTATAAAATCAGGACAGTGGCAATGGCCTCTATCTGATGTGCAACCTCACACCAGAGGGGGATGACGGTGTCAAGCGGGTAGGTCGTTGCCGAGATGAAATGATCTGGCTCAGTGAAGAAAAGAGAGGAACCGGACAGAAAACTGGGAGATATTGGAGGTGAAAGGGCGTTTGCATTATCAGTAGAAGGAGCGTTGGAGCGCAGTCATGTCACTGTCCGGACCAGAGAGGTAATGAAGGTATCACGGTACGAATGCTCGAGTGACACAAAAGAGGAATCAGGACAAAATAGGATTTGAGAAAAGGATCACCGCCATTTAACGTTTTCTGAAGATAGCGAAAGGAAAGGAAACAATGGCGAAAAGTGTGTAGCATTGACATTGCACGATTGCGAGCTGCATGTACATACCTTGTGGACTCGACATCTAGCGGAGAGGCAAAATTGGTGAACAAGAGGACGGCCGGAAGTTGTAGGAAGACAACTGGAGCAGATGGGAGGAACACTGGAACTTTAAAGTTTTACAGGGCCATGAAAAAAAAAAAAGAACGAGGCGCAAACCGATAACGGACCACCCCAATGCTGTGTGAGGATAGGAAGGACAAGAATTAAGGTAGAGAGAAGAATGGCAAAGATAGATAGCGTAATGGAGGGGGAGGAAAGTATATGAGAGGCGAAGAAAGAATGAGTGATAATCGAAGAAGAGGGAGCCGCAGTAATAATGATAAAAGGTCCTAGTGCAGGCGCAATAAACAGGAATGACAGCAATTGATAAGAAGAGCAGATCCTCAGTCTACTAAGGTTAGATGTAGACTACCACCTACGGTCCAGAAGAAAAAAGAACCCAGAAAATCCGGTATCTAAAACATCAGCCTCTCGCGAACCAAAGGACTAATCAATGTAGGAATAGAAGTGGAGGCAAAATTGATTAAGGGGAGATGTCCTAAGCGTTCAGACTACAGTATGGAGTAGTAGCATTGCATCTTTTAGTTT